CCCCCCCCCCATTGATTTTGCAGCCCCCAGAGCACCCCAGATGGCATTACTGACATTCATCAGCACAATGGGCCCTGTTAACTCCCCTCAAATCCTCCCCAAACAGGCCGAAATATTTCTGCCCATCCAATGATATTACTATGTTACCAGATATGCTCTTTGCAGCTGCAAATAATTTTTTTAACGCAGCTTCCAGTCTGGAAAAGATTACCTTCTTCTGGTTTAGAGCTTAAAAAGTAAAAACCAGTATTTTGAATTAAAGAATATTATTAGCCCTTTAGATCAATTCTTATCTCGGGATAAGAATAAAATGTCTAGGTTTCTTCAGATGAAAAATGTCTCTTCCTTGATCTTGTTTGTCCTTGGAGAAATGCTAGTTTTATTTTGCCACAGAGCCTCTTTAATTTCCACTTCAATGCATGTGAGTCAGAATTTGTCCCTGGACTCAGCTAACTCACTCTTTGAAAGATGACAGAGGTGTGCTGAGCTGATGACTTTGAGAAGTCCCTCCAAAGTTTATTAGATAGAGCTTATAGCACATCTGCTGCTTAGCAGGAGGTGGATATATAGGTTGAGTAAAAAAAGGCCAAGAGCCAGTTTGGTGTAGTGGTTAAGGCACCGGGCTAGAAACCGGGAGACTGTGAGTTCTAGTCCCACCTTAGGCATGAAGCCAGCTGGGTGACCGTGGGCCAGTCCCTCTCTCTCAGCCCTAGGAAGGAGGCAACGGCCAACCACTTGTGAAAAACTTTGCCAAGAAAACCGCAGGGACTTGTCCAGGCCGTCTCTGAGATCGGACACAATTGAACAAATTTAAAAAAACAAAACAAAAAAAAACCCCAAAGAGGCCAATTTATTGAATATTTTCTCAGTTCCCTAATATCTCTGGGGTACAGGATGCAGATCCCAGTGGTTCTTCCGTTGCTATTTCTCCTTCAATATTTCATTTGTTTTTCCTCCAAGATTAACTTTATGACTTTCTTTCCAGTGATGGCAATTTACATGAATTAACACTTCTGCATTGGTACATCATTTTGCCCTTTCATTAAATATCATATTAACCTTGGTATGGTGGTTTTAAACTTGTAGAACATTTTCTGCTAGGTTCTCCTTGGATCTCAGGGGCAGACGGTGGGGTCTGCCACAAACGACAATGATGCCAAAACGATAACATGTGTGATGAGGCCACACACATGCCACCATTATATACTTTTTATACTTGGCCCCTGCTTCCCAGACACCCATGGAGTAGAGAAGAAAAAGATTTGAGAACCAGGCATTCCTGATCATGTTTTTTACCCCCAGAATATTTTTTCACTGTGTAACTCTACAGTTCCTGATCATCATACACTATTGTGCAGACGTGCATAAAACGAATAGGGATAACTGTACCTGAAAATGGGAGCATAGAATCCTGCTTCTGTTGTAATTGCCATGTTTTATGGTGGCTTGTAGTGTGTGCTATACTCAATTTTTTTTTTAAGCACAAATTATGCTTGACTCTGGTGATTATGTCGTTTCTTGACAACAGAACTAATTTGCCCAGGATATCTAGCCCAGGGGTTTTCAAACTTTTCAGGCCATGGAACCTTCCTTCCTTCCTTCCCTCCTCCAATGGTCTCTCACACAACCCCATCAGGAATATAATTTGAAAAACAGTGGTCTAACCTTTAGCCGCAGGATAGCTCAAGGATCTCTCATCCAAATCCTAACCATATCTGGCCCCGCTTAGCTTTTTTGAGAACAGGCAGGGTCAAGAGGTGCTGCCACCTGTTGGGCATGCATGTAGTTACCCATCCTTAACAAAAAGCAGTAGAAACATTTGTGCCTATGCCGTGCTGGGTGATTACACCCTCGTGATTTTTTAAACTCCTCTTTCTTCTCTGACAATGGCAAAACTATCTGTTGAAGTGTGGCGCGTTATAGATGCAGAGAGACGTGGTATTGTGTTCCCATTAAGTAGGAATTGTATTTTAAGAAAAAGGCTGGCCTGCCAGTACCCTCAAAATTAAGAGAGACTCAGTGCCTTTCCTGCTTATGGGGTATTCATCTCTCAGCTGCGTTGCTACTGAAGCTCATAAATAATATAGATTGCCCTTTCTAAGCACAATGCAGGGTCCTCTGTAAGTATGAACTTAAAAGATGAATGCCGCAGCTCTCTGGTTTACTTTGTATGTTTTATTGCCCCCCTTTTAGCAACTTCACTTGACTTGTAACTTCATAAAAGTTTAAACTCTGTACATAGTTCTGGGGAAAACTCTCTCTCTATCCCCTCCCCATTATTTTACCAGCAGACCTACTTATTTTGCCTTATTCACATGCGGTTTTCATCACATCTTTTCATGTGAAGAAAAAAGCCTTTCAAACTTTTTCTTGTGCAGGCATTACACCTGTGAAAAATAAACTTCGGAAACTCTGGGTATTTGTTCGGATACCTCTTCTTTTTAAAGAGGACACATGCATCTTTGGTGTCAAGTTGACATCTGAAAGCTGGGAAAGTTACTACAGTCACGCAGGTTTTTCTAAGTTTGCCAAATTGTAGAAATGGGAAAACATCTTGGATGACATCAGATCCAATCCTTGGCTCTAGGTAGGATCTGTAGCACAAAATGCAGTTTATTGACTTGCTTCAGTTGTATTCCATCACATTTCATATAGACTTTGATGTCCACAACTAGCCAGGGTGATGGAAAAATGATGCCACACAGGCCATGATGTCATGATGCAAACTCCGCCCTTCCATACAGTACAGAAGTTCAAAGCTTGCATCGCGATGTCATAACACAACTTACTTTGCTTGTCCTCCTCACACCCGATGCTTATGAGTAGAGATGTTTGCCCAGTCCTTCCTTAAATGCCTGCAGTGCACTTAAATACATCCTGGGTCAAAGTGTGCTCCTTATTAGGATGTGTGTTATAGTGCTTAATCAAAACAAATGGGATGCTATTGCAGAAATAGTTATACCCTTGGTCAGCATCCATCTAACTTCCCAGGAGGTCGCCAGATGATTGCCAAGCAAAGGCAGCTTCATCTTTTATTTATTTGCAATTTGTATAAACTGTTGCATTCCGGAGAGACTCCTGGGGGGGTTCACAAGAAGGCTGAAACAATAAAAAATGGCAGATCATAAACTCTGTCAAAAAAAGAAATCAGAATTCACAGTAAAGCTCGACTCTTGGCCCCTAATCTCTGTGATAACCTTCACTTCCCAAGTGGTCTATCAAACAGCCCTGTTTAAATGGACTTCTTAAATAAGGGAAAAGTAGGTATTCTCACCTTCAGGGAGAGGCTATTCTAAGGGAAGGGAAGCACAATCACAGAGAAATAATGGCCTCTGCTTGG